TCAGAAGCGCGGGAGGGTGAGAGAATTCACCAGAGCCAGAGCGGGGAGCAGAGCAGGCAGAAGGACGGAAGCACACTGCTGAGGGGAGCAGCGGGCAGCAGGAGAGGTCTGCGCGCCATGTGGGACCCTCCTCTGGTGGCCGGGGAGCAGCCGGGGATCGAACCGGTGCTGCAGAGGCTGCGGGCAGCTTCACAACCCAGCGCTCAACCGTTGCGCCACCGGGGAGGCCCATGTAACTTTATTTTGCATATGTAGATTGAAGTATATTTCTGCTGAATGTTGGGGCTCTGCAGGATGGGCTATTTCTACTCTGTGCTGTCTATAGGGAATTCCTTCCCTTCTCTAGAGTTAAGCAGACTAGAAAACCATGGAGATGGGTCTCTAATTTTGACTGCCTTGTGATCATAATGGAGATATTTACTGTACAAGTCTCTTTACTCTTCAAAGTCGGGAGGGGCTCACCATCCTAGCTTGAACACAGAATCCCGTTGCTAAAGTTGCCAAGTATTGGCATTTTTTTTGTCCAGGTGTAGGAAACTACAGGTTTCCATGCCAGTCCCGTGTGGGAATGTCAGGGAAATGTGGGATCACTGCAGTCCCTCCATATTGGCGTTGGTCCCTAAGGCTGTGCTACCCATGCTTTGCTCCTCTCCCCCAGACCTTAGAGTCTTCTTTTCTTGGACAATCTAAATATTTCCAGACTTTTAATTTTGGAAACAAAGGCCTATTCTCACTTGGGGAAAAGAGAGACTAAAGCTCAGGCTGCTTTTAGAGATTGGGTATAATGGAATATCTTCTGCTATTTCTATATCTCAGAGTGAACAAGACAAATAAATATCATAATAAATAAATAATCCTTCTACCAAATTCATTTGTTCAACAGATATATTTATTGCTGCATTTCAAAGCTCTTTTCCCTAAATTATTTTCATTTATTCAACAAATGTAGGGAGTGGCTACTCTGCCAGGCAATTTGGGAATTAATGGGTGAGCAGGCAGACACAGCTCTCTTTTTGTGGAATTTATGGTTGAGTGGGGGAGGTAGCATGGAGCAGATAACTAAGAAATAATTATTTCTTGTGGATCAGTACTACTAGGGAAAGTAGACGTGCTGTTGGAAGGCTTATTCAGGAGAACCTCACCGTGTGTGTGTGTGTGTGTGTGTGTGTGTGTGTGGGTGTAGTGAATCAAGGAAAGCCCATATAAGCTGAGACCTGAAGGATGGAGAGAAATTGAGGGTGAGTGATATCTCTTCTGAGTTCTCAGACTATACCATTGTTTGTTCTCCCATCCATTCATCCATCCATCCACCCACCCACTGATCCATCCATCCATCCATCCATCCATCCATCCATCCATCCATCCACCTACCCACCGATCCATCCATCCATCCATCCATCCATCCATCCATCCATCCATCCACCCACCCACCGATCCATCCATCCATCCATCCACCCATCCACCCACCCACCCACCCATTCATCAACCATCCAACAAATACTTCCTGAGCATGTACAATGTGGCAAGGAAGTCCCTAAGTGCATGGAAACAACCAACATGTAAACCATGGTTCTCAACCTCAGCATTATTGATATTTCAGGCTGGGTCATTCTCTGTTGTGACTAGCCTGTCCTGTGGGGTGCAGGAGCAGGTGAAGTAACGGTTGAGGGTTGGTTTCCATGATAAGTTTCATCTCTATCTTAATATGCAAATATCACATATACACAACATTGCATGTGTTTACATGTTTGGGGATGTTTCATAACTCAACAAGTTAGTATAATAGGATGTACATATGTTTTCTACCTATCTAAATGAAGATCTTTTGGGTTGATGGGTATGAACTCCCCCTGAGAGTTTACAATTGAGTCAGTGGTGCTGGCTTTTTGAGCCTTAACATGGGTACTTTAAAAAAAATACTATTTCCTTGGTTCTGTCCGTCAAACAACATGATGATTGAAATTCAGGAAGCAGCATCATTGCTGGTCGGGGACTGTGGGGGGACTCGCCCGGGGTCCAATGCTCCTCCAAGCTGCTGCGGACACGCCATTTCTCAGCCAGGAGCCTCTGACCCCCACAGTGTTGTGCTGCCGTGTGACTTCAAAGAACAACATTCAAAGGGCAGAACCTCACCAGTGAAGCTCATTGAAATGGAGAAGCCTGGAGCAATGCACACGTTGGAAGCTTCTGCTCTGAAGCCACTCCGGTAGCCGAGTGAGGCCTGGTTCTCAGTGAGGCCCTCAGAGCATTAGCTTCCCCGGGGAGCTGGGGAGACCCGTACATCCTCGCGCCCCAACCCCACTCTACCGAGACCTGGGCAGCTGGAGGTGGTGGCCTGGAAGCCCCGAAGGTGGCTCAGTGACGCTCGGGATGCTGGCTTCTGGGTGCACAGGTCTCCTCTGCACCCAAGGGCGCTCCCCCACCTCAGCGTCTTCAAGGAGCAGCCAACCCCCTGCCGGCCCCTCTCACCATGGCGGGTCTGAGGCAACCCTGGAGCCCCTCCTGTGAGGACCTGCCTCCCGAGCCCCCTGCTGCATTCCCAGCATGGCAGGCGCCGGTTCAGCCGAGATGACAGGTGGCTTCCATTGAGAGCAGCTGACAGGCCTCTCCTGGCGTGATTGACAGCACCCTAATCAGCAGCAAGAGAATGGCGCGCCTCTAGAATGATGTTTGCTCTGTAAATATTTGACATTATCTACCCTGAAAACCTGAAAGAAAACTTCATTTTTCTTTCTTTTTCGGGGAATACAGCAAGTCACAGAACACCCTTAAGTATAATTAGTCTGACAAGGGAGTTTCTGATGGGGGCAGGGGCCTGGGATGTGGGAGCAAGTGTAGGTGTCTTTGTCTCTGCGCTGTTCAAGGTCGATGGGGGTCCCTCCCTTGTGACCCCCTGCCAGCCTGGTGAGGAGTGGCCTGGCACCGGGCAGGTTCTTAGTCCATGGCTGGTGCTGATTGAGACCCCGCTTTGTGGGACCTTCTTGCTGCTGGGTCTCCCCTCCTGGGGAGAGGACTTTCAGGCAAAGCTAAAGGCTGTTGGCTCTGGACAGTCTTGGGATTGAGCTCGTGCCTGCACACCCCAGGATGTGTGACCTTGGGCAAGTGGGTGCCCCTCTCTGAGAACAAGGGGTTAAGGAGAAGACTGGTATTTTAGGGCACTTTTACTCACCCTTTAAAAAAAATTTTTGCCCTCTTGAGGAACTTTTGAACGCTCCCCCTCCTCCGTCCCCATGGAATTTTAATGCTGCAGCTACACACCATGTCTGTTTAAGTACTGTGGGTCTTTGGAGGCTACAGAGCATTGAGAGAGCTAAGATTTGCACCCCTCACCCCCCGAGGTGCTTGCCTGCATCCTGTGGGGAATGCATTTTTTTTTAAAGAGCAATTGTAGTCAGATTTAAGAAAGGTAATTTCCATCCAGAACTCGATACAGGTTAAGTGCTCAATCATGGTTAAATATTAATGTATATTATACAAACGATGCTAAAGACAGTATTGTTCATTATAATTAATTATTAAGTATGATTGGTATGATGTATACACTCTGTTATATTTTTATTTTTATTTTTTAAGATTTATTTTTATTTTATTTGTGCATACAAGAGCTGAGGTACAGGCCAGAGGTGTGTGTGAGGGGGTGAGAGGATTCACCAGAGACAGAGTGGGGAGCAGAACAGGCAGACTGACTGAAATACACTACTGAGGGGAGCAGTGGGCGAGACAGGAGAGGTCTGCTGCTATGTGTGTTGCTCCCTGGCTGGGGATCGAACTCGTGCTGCAGTGGCTGGCAGTAGCTTGATAGCACTGTCTTTAACCCCTGCACCACCAGGGAGGCCCCTGTTATATTTTTATATCACATTCCGCTCCACTCCTACTACTCTGTTCCTTCTGTTTCACTCACCCCATTCTGTCCGTGGAAAACCTGCATATTGGCATAGCACCCACACAGACGAGGAGATGGAAGCTGAGGTGTGCTGTCCTCAGAGTTCTGGCTTTGACGTCAGGCTTGGGTCTGGGTTTGCTCCGTGGCTTCTCAGGCAGGGTGATTTCGGGGACCTGTGGGGCCCATGTCTTCATCCCCACCCTGGGCACAGCACACTTCTCTCAAAGGCAGTGAGCATGAGGAGGGAGACCACCCAGGAACTCTGTTATCTGTGCCAAGTGTAACTCCACTGAATGCCCACCATGCCATGGCCGCAGCATGGGGCAGGGGTGTTAGCGGGGTGCTGCGAGGCTGCCCATTGGGACATGAGACAGACAATAGACATGACGGGCCACTGCAAATAAAGTGACTTCACAGAGAGATAAGTCCAGGGGCAACCAGGGGTCAGGGCTTTTCCTAGACCGAGGGTCAGTGACTAAGGCAGGATCCCAGCATGTGCAAAGGCACTGAGGCCGGGGAGGCCCAGGGGTCGGGAACAGAGAGCTGTCTGTGTTGGCTACTGTGCAGAATATGGAGAGGAGATGAGTGTCCCGAATGGCAGGAGCCCAACCAGGCAGGACCTCAGGCCTCCTGAGGACATTAGACTGTGTCTTGGGCCACAGAGACCCACAAAGACCATCGATCAATGGGTGGGGGCGGACAGGAGTGAGAGGGGGTTGCAGGAAACTTGCTCTCACAACTTCCAACATCATGTGTTTTCCCAAATTCTTCCCGTTCTTCCCAGGAGGAGCTTAATTCTGGAGCCTGGGAAGCAGCCCCGGCAGCAGGGGAGGGGGGCTTGGCGGACCCAGGGGCACAATGAGAGCCCAGTTCCTATTTCTCAGATCTTGGCCTGTCCCATCCCCTTTTGCAGTGAAGTGTCTATTATTCATCCTGTCCTCCGGGTCCTGATGGCTCGGACATCCTGGGGCCCTTTCTGCTAAAGACATGGAACTTTGGCCCAGTGAACTTTATATATGGTGAGTAAATTGTCCATTTAAAGATTCTGCCATTTGCCAAGCCTCCTCTAGGGGCTCGCAAGCGTGTGGACTTCCCCACACCACAAACAGGTCTGCATTCTGGGCCCACCATATTGAGAGATATGGGATTTGGGGTGACTGGGGTCTTCTTACCTGTGAAGTGGGTATGATTGGGTCACTGAGGGGTCGTGGTGAGCATCGGGTGGTGTCTTAGCGGAAGTGTCACTCACCAGGGGAGCATCAATGCACAGCAAGCATTAGGGGACTCCTCGGTCCCACGCAGGCATTTATTCCTGCTTTCCATAAATGCTGTCTTGAGCATTTGTAATGTGTGATGCATGATAGGCTGTCCTAGAAGTTGGGGATACGGTAGTGACAACAACACCCTCCAGGAGGCTGCAATCTACTGCTGGTGTAACAGGGTTGGCAAACACTTTTGGTAAAAGACCAGATATTAAAAATTTGGAGTTTTTAATTAGATGGATGTGAGGGCAGCCTTGCCATGTTGTAGACATTCATCCCCTCCCGGAATGCCACTCATTTCTGTTTCCAGCTCCAAGTGCCTGTGACCCTGTGCTCTGGGGTGTGGTCTGGCCACTAGAGCCTACTTCACCCAACATTTGGGTCAGCTGGAGGTGCTGGAGAATTAAAGCCTCTGCACTGTACCTGGCATCAGCCCCCCACTAGTGATTGAGAGGAGGTAGAGTAGAGAAGCCGGACTCCCTCTCTGCTCAGGCAGAATACCAGCAGGTCTCCCTGAGCTCCCGGTGGGATTAGGTCTACGGTGCATGGAGGTCTTTGTTCTTAGAGCCCCATTATTGGCCTCCACCCTTTGTGTTTCTTGGAGTCACCTCCAGTATAAATCACCACATCCTCATCTCGAGACCTGTTTCCATAGGACGTCAATCTAAGACAAATGAAACCTGGGTTTTGAAGGATCTTGAGCAGGGACTGGCAATCTCTGACCCAGGGGCCAAATCTGAGCAGTTGCCTGTTTTTGTAAATAAAGTTTTATTGGCACACAGCCATACCCATTTGTTTACATTTGCCCTTGCTGCGTCAACACTACAACAGTGGAGTCAGCTGGGTGGATGATCCTTCACAGAAATCGTTCACTGACCTTTGGTCTTGAAGAACCAAATGGCACGATCTGATTTGTTTTATTGAAAGATCATTCCAGCTGCTGTGTGGAGGGCTCATGGAGCAGTCGAAGCCACCACAGAAGTCTCGGAGAGCTATAGAGGGGACAGATTTGAGCTGCATTTTGAGGTAGAAACAGCAGTACTTCTTGATGGACTGGGTTGGAGGGAGGGAATGGCTAAGGGAGGGTCCTTGTGTACTTGTACCTCGCTTTCTTCAGGAAGCCTTCTGTGACTTCTCAGGTTGGCTGAGGACCACTCTGTGCTCATGCTCTTGAAATGCTCTGTTCTTCTTTTCTTCTTGCCTTGGATCACAGAGATAACCAAGACAGACCCAGATTGTAACACAGCTAACTCTAGACCCTGTTCTCATAACTACCATCATAGAGATTTATCAGTGTAGCCCTGAGATGTGGTACACAGTAGGTGCTCAATAAGTAGCCACTACATGAACAAAGACCAAGAACTCTGGTTTTGTCCAAACCATCTTTCCTACCTGCCTGTTCCCACCTGCTGTGCTTCTTCCAGCCGGGGCCATGGCGATGAGGTGAAGCTAACAGATGCTGCTGTAGCCATTATGAATGAACAGCATGGTCCCAGGCCAGGCAGTGACGCAGCGCAGAAGCTGGCTGGTGCGGACCACCAATCAGCTTGTGTCCAAAACACGGCCCAGGTCTTCCAGGACATAAGGGAAGGAGCACAGAGGGCCACCCTGAGGGAGAGAAGGTGTGGCTGTCTCAATCACACCTGCCCTCTGCCTGGCAACCTTGGATTTGTGAGACCACCGCTGGCCGCCTCTGTCGAGATTACGTCATAAACGACTCAGGCACAACTGACCAGGTCTGAAAGCATGCAAAGGCACCCAGAAACCAAGCAAAGGGGGCTGGGACTGGTGGGGAAAAAATCCACTGGATACGAGGGTGGACGCTGGAAGTGGGTCAGCAGGTGCCAGCAACAGAAAGCCCCCCAGTGTTCCCTCTTTGGCCCCCCGGGGGTCAGTGCTGCTCTTCACTCTCCTTTTCCTCTCTTCTCTGTTGCCATTTTTAAAAAACACACATAGGCAGAAATCAATCCATCAAATGTCATTACAGATTTATTAAGCCTGATGTAGAAAGACATTTAACAGGAACATCTTCAGAAAGCATAAAAAGAGCACTTCTATTCAGTCTTGTGCTTTGAAAATCTAAATATATTTTTATCATATAAATAATTCTTTTCATGTTTTAAGTGCATCTGTGTGTTTTTTCTTCTTCTTCTCTCCTTTAATTTTCATTTTTCAGTTGGCCAAAGCGGAAGTCGGGTTGACGGAAATGGAGCCATTTGCAAAGCTAATGGTGTTGGGAGGCATGTCTATGCTCTAGCAGCCGGGTTTCAGAAAGGTGGTTCAGTATCTGCAGCATTAAAATGAGGGACAGCCTCCAGCAAAAACCGTAATTGAACACACCCAGGTCCTTAATGTCGGCAGCTGGGTTTCCTGATGCAAATTACGATAAGGTTTGAGATGCGTGCAGCCTATTGCTAATAACTGCTGAGTGGAAAAAAAAGACCTTTTTCTCATCACAAAGGAAAGAGTTATCATGTTTAAAAATGTAAATAATACACTTATAGAAACCTTTCTAATGGAAATGAGGGGCTCCACATAACCTTGGCAAGTGTGTTGTTGTGTTTTCACAATAGCTAAAGGAAATAGTATCTATTATTTAGAGCTTTAATTACAGTTCTCGAAGTAAAATGATTTTCCTTAAAAAAACTCTTTAGCTGTAAAAAATAATGGCTTCTGTGATATAATTTAAGGGGTTTCTTCATCTCCACCATCGAAATTTATTTCTAGTGGTAAAATTGTATTAAAAAAGTCTCTCCTAGAGGTAATTTCAAGGCCGCAGTATCACACACAGGCCCAAACAGAGTCATTTTTATTCAGCAAGGGGCTGGGATGAGTACTTCTTTTGACCTGATTTAGATGCTATGGGATACCAAGTTCTGATTGTTGATAATTAGGAGGGATGACAGGATGGCGGCATCCAGGGACATGAGCAGGCACCTGATTGAAAAATCCCTGCATTTTTTTTTTTTTTCCAAGCCAGAAAGACTTCATCTCCAGCTGGGTTGTTTGTCTTGGGCAACATGGCAAATCTTTTGGAAATTTGCAAATAGTGACTATTGAGACTAACACTCGGGGGTAATGGGGAATAAAAGAAAGTGTGGCCAGCCAAGGGAAGAACTTTCCAGAACCCAGAGAAGTGGGCACACATGTCTCTCTGTGATGAATCTGTTTGGCCACAGGGTGGTATGATTTTCCTAGCAGAAAACTTTTTTTTTTTTTTTTCATTGCAAGGACAATTTATAATCATCAAAAACAAGTGAAACATGGTTTTGATTAAAACAGCCTGTTGGCTCAATAATCTCTGTAATTTTAAAAACATCCTTAATGCAGAAGAAGAACACGCGGATGTCAGGAATGGCCTAGGGCCTCATTACAACAGCAACCGAAGAAATAAGGAGAAGACTTGCGAGGTCATAAAAACAAAATTAAGCTAATGTTTCAAATTTTGACAATTATGAATTCTTCCTCTAAGAAGACATTAAAAAAAATTTTCAGGCACTATTAGATAAAATACAAAGAGGATAATTCTACGTGGATGAGTTTGCAGTTTTCCCAAGGGGTAAAGCATGCCTTTAAAGGAAAGCTTTGAATTAGGACCTCGGTTCCTCCCACGATCCAGCAATTGGATGGGACTCATGCAGACAGACAAACTTGGTTCTTATAATTTCTTTGTAAACTCAGATCTAATTCTTTCATAAGCTATTGAAAGAGAATGATCAGGAAAAAAATTACAAGCATCTTTTTTTCTTTTTTCTATACAAAAGACTTCCCATTGTGGGCCAGTTTGGTAGGAAACAGAAACAAGCAAATATAACAAAATCTGTGTTCATACATGGTGATATAGTTAGTATATACATATATGTACAGTACAAAAATGTACGGAAGGCTTACATTCCCAGCCATCCACGCTGCAGTGTCCACAGGAGAGCAGCCTGGGTTTTCCTCTTCCTCGCCAGGCAAATGGACTCTAGACAGCAGGCAGGCCTTAGAAAATGAGAGCTTCTGCAGAGCGTCCTTACAAGGCTGCTTGCAGTCATTTTTCTTTGAAAATGACTAGTCTGCTTTCCTAATATAAAAATGTGTTTGCCTTTGTTGGCTGGCAAATAAACTTTCCCTCGGAGCAAGGATGAATGTTGTTCTCCCCACACTGTCCACCCTCCCTACTCCACAGCCTTTTCTCAAAGGAAGAAAAAAAATCTAGAATTAACAAAAGGGGGCAAATAGGTAACATAACCGTGGTTGAGGCCATATTTCCTAAAAAGCTGCAAGGCTCTGCGGGGGAGAACCGTTGACCACTGGAGAGGCTGCCTGATCACCTACCTACCTCCTTGATTTTAAAAGGGTTCGGATTTTATGCCTCACGTTGACTGTGCCGGGCTATTAGGAATCAAATCCAAAGGGATTAAGGATACCAGCGTCTCAGAGGCCAAAAAGCACACTGTATCCTGAGCTATTAGGACACTTCAGGACCCTGAGCCAAGTGAGAATTGTTTCGTATGTCAGCTTTCTCCCCCTTTTTGACTTGCACGTACATTTTAGCATCTGATGTGTTAGAAGCCAAGATATCAGATTGCAAGACTGGAAAGTTCCGGTAGTATTTATCTCAATGCTGCAGATTTTACTCCAAAAAACTCAACCGTTTTTACCTCTTTTCTGCACACCGGTTGAACTTTGGGCATTTGAAAAATATACACACGCGTTTATAATTCCTGAATGTTCCATGGGTCATTTAGAAAGTGAAAATATTACTGTACAGAGTCTTCACATTTGAGATATAATGGAATGATTGTTCAAGTTCTGTAAATAGAAGCCTTTGCCTGGGGACTGATATCTAAATGTAGGTTTCAGGTGCAAGATAATTCAGCCAACACATTGAAATTCATTTTCTGGAGGGGTTGCAGGGAGTGGTAGATTTTTTTTTTTTTTTTAAGTAATGCATTTGTTTGAATTTTTCAACTTCTCCCGGGGGTTCTCACAAAAGAGTTATTATTATTTGTACTTCCCAAAGCGGTTTGGAGCAAAGAAACATCACACAAAGGGTGGCCGAGTATTTAATCTGTCTTTCCCAATGGATTGTTTTTAAAAGGCCTTCATGATAATCCTATGGCTATTGATGCGACTGTAGGCATGCTGAAAGGTGTAGGATGGGGTGACATTACTTAGAAGAGCCATTTTACTTGGAATATATTTTTCCAAAGAAAACGGATAGAGTCCTGTTGCAGAAATAATATTCCACCTGGTACTAGCATTTTAAAACAGCCCTATTCTAATCCATAAAACATTTCTAGTTTTCCCTGAAGCTTTGGGCTGCCTTGTGCATGAATAATTTTTGGCGAAACACCCACGCCCGTTAGCCCATTGTTCTTAACTATTGGAAGAAGATTAACTGGAGCCTGGAAATGGTCTATCTGCGTATGCCTCTGAATCTGTCACGGGAAACCAAAGGAGATAAGTGGCTTTTACTTTGGATGAAGAGGTAAAATTCCCCTGCAGAAATTCTAAAGATGATTCACAAGTTTCAAAATGTTTAATGCTCCCCTACAATGGAAACATGCCTCTCCCATCTGGGGGATGGAAATTTGTATCTCTTTCCTCTGCTCAATCTTGGTGGAAAAAAGCATTCATGGATATTTTGAGAAAGTGCCACATATAGGGAGAAAATTAAATTAGCATCTGAACATCTCATAGGGAAAAAATAAACCGAAAGTTCAGTTGTGATTTTTTTTTTGTCCAATGCATGTTCAGAATAGATACTACTTTTATTGCTCTCTAGAACTATATATGTCTCTGTGAATGTGATTAAAACCTTCGATAAATTTCCGTATTATTGTTGTTATTTTAGCTTTCATCAACTCACTTCTATTCTTGTTGCAGAGAATAGAAGAGCATGTGAAAATGACATTTTAATTTTTTTTGAAAAAAAAAAACATTCAACAAGTTTAAAAATGAAACCCGATGAAAAAGATTTGAACATAGTCAAATAACCCAGGAAGTGACAGATGGAAAAGAAACAGAACACAAGCACCTTTTAAGGCCTTGTAATCTTTGGATTTACTGTGAAAAGTTTCAGAAAATCATAGACTCTTATTGTGGCACTGTCCAGAGACCCTGGACAGTAACAGTCAAATTCATATTTAGATACATGAACACACACGCGTGCACACACACACCCCCCCTCTCCTTACTGCTTAATCAGTTACATAGATGCTTCCCGAATATGTCACTTCATTTGTTTGTTTTCTGCATTTCAACTAAGTTCAGCAGCTTGTGCCTGTGACATTAATTATGCAAGACTCAAACAACCGAACAAGCACATTTTGGGGGTGAGTTTTAAGAAATCTATTTGTGACCTTAAAGAAATTCTGTGGGGACAGTCTGGGCTAGTCAATTTATTCTGTGATTATATTCTGCTTTAAGGCCTTGACCTATTTTTAAGCTATTTCTTCCCTGTATGTTTTTCAGAAGAATTCCCTTTTCTGAAATATTATTATTTTGAAAATGAGGAATAAAAGGCAAAGAACACCAAGGGAGTTGGCCTCAGGGGAGCTCCTCCCCCAGGCCACTGGTGACACTCCCTGGAGGGTTCGGTACACAGGACAGGAAGTTGGGTGACTTGGTTCCTGCTATAG